TCCTGTCTTAACATCCCATAAACAAATTGAATAATCTGCATTATATTATAAATACCCACTACAAGTTGCTAATGTAGTTCCATCCGGAAAGGCACAGATTCGGATAAGCATAATATTCATGTACATCAAACTTGGCTTTTTATTCTCCTGTCTTTACATTCCATAAGCGGATTGAGTTATCATCGCTACCAGATGCTAATGTTGTACAATCACGAGAGAAACAGACAGAATAAACATCACTAGTATGACCTATTAGTTGGTTTTTTTCTTAACCTGTCTTAAAATACCATAAACGAATAGAATTATCACTACTACCAGATGCTAATGTAATACCATCAGAAGAGAGACAGACAGTATTAATCTAATTTTAATGACCATCTAATTTTATTGTTTACTACTAGGTCTAAACATCCCATAAACGGATAGAATAATCATGACTTCCAGATGCTAATGCAGTACCATCAAGAGAAAAACACAGCGAAACAACATCACTATTATGACCATATAATTAGGCTTTTAATTAACCTGTCTTAACATTCCACAAACGGATAGAGTTATCGTCACTACTAGATGCTAATATAGTCTGATCAGGAGAGAAACAGACTGAATAAATTTTCGCAGTATGACCACATAATTTGGTTTTTTATTATCCAGTTTTAACATCCCATAAATAGATAGAGTTTTTATCACAACCAACTGCCAAAGTAGCACCATCAGGAGAGAAACATATTGAATGAGCTTAACTAGTATGACCAGATAATTTGGAATTTTATTGTCCTGTTTTAACATCCCATAAACCGATAAAGTTTTCTGAAAGGATAGATGCTATTTTAGTGCCATCAGGAGAAAAACAAATTGTAAGAATATCATGACCTAAGGCAACAAATTGTTGTTTTTCTTATCCTGTCTTAAAATCCCATAAACGAATAGTATTATCGTTACTACAAGAGGCTAATATTACACTATCAGGAGAGAAGCAGACTTTCGTGACAATACTGCGATGTCCAATTAACGTTGCTTTTAGAAATAATGTCTCAACATCCCATAAACAGATAGAGTTATCCCCAACTATCAGATGCTAATGTAGTACCATCAGGAGAGAAACAGACAGAATGGGTGCAATATTAATGACCATTTAATATAGCTTTTTATTCTCCTGTCTGAACATCCCATAAACTAATAGACTAATCATTATCATGGGATACTAATGTATTACCATCAGGAGAGAAACAGACAGACATGACCTTTTTAGTATGGCCATATAATTTTCCTAATAATGATCCTGTTTGTATATCCCATAAGAGAATAAATCCATCTTCACTACTCGATGCTAATGTAGTCCCATCAGGAGATAAACTGATTGATGTAACTCCTTCAGTATGGCCAATTAATAAGGCTTGTTGTTTTCCTGTCTTAACATCCAATAATTTGGTTGAGCAGTCCAAACCACCATATATCAACGTGTACCATCATGAGAGTAATATAGTGAATAAGTTGCACTTTAATTACGATCTAATTTTGCTCTTTGTAATAAAGTCTTAACGTCCCAAAAACAAATAGACTTATCATCACTACCAGATGCTAAAGTAGTACATCAGGAGAGAAGCATACAGTATT